TATATATATATATATATATATATATAACCAGTGATGATTATATGAATTCGAAATCTTAAAAGGGTTGAGGGCATGTGGTATATTCTTGGACACACCAGATGTTGGCAATATTGAATATACTTCTGTTTGAATTATGGAAATCAGTATTTTATATGAACAAAATTGTAAATATAATTTTACTCAACTAAACCCCAAAACAACCACTGTGAGATGCTGTCCAATAAACTGTTATTTTCCAACCCTGTCTAAATATCCAGTAAATTGGGTGCGAGTTTTTTTTGCAACAACACACACATCAGTCTGCTTATAAATTCATTAGTGGTATTGTCAGGTTGCAGCAACACTAAAGTAATGTTCTGTTTTTGTTTGAAGGATGAAGACGAGCTGTGCCCGTTGAAGAGAGAGTTGAAGGAGGAGGTTGATGAAGAGGTGAGTAGGTGAAATCTGTTTCTCCTCAATATACTGTTTTTTAATTATTGAGTCTTCCATGTTGTTTGCGCCATTGGAATATAAATATTATATTTATAGTAATGCATAGCAATGTTAATTAGTCCTGATATACAGTATGATTGTTTATATGGGTTCTGGTCTCCCTGTACATAGGCACTTCTACTTTGCGATAATACAAGAAACGAGTGGATCTATAACAGCACATACTCTCTCGCATTATTAGAAAGAGTTACGTAATACTGAAATATTGCAATTTCTGCACTATTAACACCTCAGTTATAACTTAAAAACGTGATGCATTCATTTTGATAGTCAGGAGCAGCAATAACATTTTCTTACTTTTGAGAATGAAAGAAACAAATAAATATCACTGTTACAGTATTTGTAGCACATAGTAAAAAAAACAAACAAAAAAACTAATAATTTCACTCAAGCCTGGTTTGATTACATTGAAGTGTTCTTTTAATTTTTGAATTCCGCAGTTAGCGATCAAGTCTTCTTACAGTAAAGGAATGTTTGTTACATCTAAGTTAAATTTATTACCATCCTTCAATATACTTTCGTAAGAAGATCTACATCATGCAGTCATCACGACCGACAACATTGGGACAAATTCGAAGATTCTTGAAACCACTGTGTTGCCATTTTGCGAAATATTGCGTCAAACGAAATAATCGTTGCGAGAGGTTGCTAGCAACAAAGACAGCAAAAACTTTTCAGGTTTGCTGCCAATTCGCCTTCAAAAACTGGTCCAACTTCGTACGTTTATTTTCGAAAAATTTTAAATAATATGACATAGTAAATGAACCGACACTACTGTAAACAAATTTGTAAATACGGCTGTCAAATATTACTCACTTCGAGCGTGCTCTTTCACATTGTGTGTATTCGAATACATGTGTAAATGTGTGGCAAATACTTCACCAGTTTCGAACGCTTAGTGCTATCGTATCGATTAACAGAAGCTAACTTTTAGCACATTGTAATAAGTTTATGATTATCAATAAATAACGTAACGTTACGATTCACGGTAAATAACGTATTATTTATCATGAATTTTTATTCCGCTTGGTAACCAGATACATTCTACATAAATTACGTGACACCAGAGAGGGAGTGAGGGGGCTTGGGTCAGAGTTACGCTGCGTAACATAGGGCAGGGGGTATTCGATTAGGGTTTCGTAACTTTCATATTTATTACCTTTTTTTTAGTATGTGTTGAAATACTTCCTTTTTTGAGTCTTAATACTAAAACATTAAAATATTATCTAATTGCTTTTAAAACAAATAATTTAAAGTTCTTCAAAGTGGTTACAATAAATGGAAATATTTTTTTCATCGAATTTCTATTGTACCTGTAAGATTACAAAGAAAATATTCAGTACTGATTTGTAGTATTTTGTAGAATACAACTAAATTGGCGTAGTAGACTCTCGCCTATGCGCCATCCACAACGGCGACGTGTGCACAGCGATGTGTGGTCAGAAATTTTCTCGCCTGTGCGTTCTTCCTTCGCTCAAATTTGCCCCCAATCTTATTGTTAGGTGAAGTCAGCGTCGAAAACAAATCAGACTTTAATTATAGAAAATTTTAATTTACATGACAAGTAAAATTAATATAATTTCTTTACTATCTCGATCAAGTTTTCGTCCCGTTTCTCTGATCCTTGAGCAAATGCTGAGATGGCCCCTTGTTTTGCTTCTGGGCATGAATGTATCTTCAATTTAACTTTTCCCCATAGCACGTCACAGTTTTTAACTGTTTTTGACGTAAATAAATAAATAAAATACTGAGCTACAATTTGTTTTCACGTCTTGCATTTACAGAGGGTGTAACAAGGGTTACGTAAATATATAGGATGGTTCAATCTCACGTTCCGGGGGAGGTATTGGAAATACTCCACATTTGCATCACGTGATTTATGGACGGCCCCAGAGCAATTTGCCACCGCCCCAAGCGAAGCGCAGGAAACGGGAATATACTATTTCCCCACATTTTCGAAGGTACTGAGTGTGCGTCGAAAATGGGACCAACACCACTTTCTTTAACGGTCTTTGCTACATAGTGAAAAAATTTGGAGCTCTTTCGCAGAAAATAATTGATTAAAACTTAAAAATCGCGTGTTTGAAGTAAAATTATCCAATAAATACGTATTTTCGAAAACTTGAACGCGGCCTTTTTTTGAAGACCTGCTTCTGGTGAACACATTTCACGAAGAAAAAAATTCTTCATAATTGTAGTTGTAGGAAGGCGTGAAAAAAAATAAAGCTTTTTGCACCATTTGCGACCTTTACGATCCTAAGGCCAAAATTTAATTAAAAGATTTGGTGCCGTTTTGAGGGGGGGGGGAAATACGTATACACGACGAGTCACGAAACTTCAGCACTTATGCTGTTTTTGAACGGTTGAAGTTCGTGCAATACAATTTTCACGGAAGTGCATGAGGAAATGGAGCTAATTGTTACATGTATTTATTTCTGTTTTATCACTTGAATTTTACGACATATTGCGGTAACTTTGTTTTTTTTTTTTTTTTTCAAATGGAACTATACATATGTTTTAGTCTATCATCCAGTGATACACATATTGTCATATATCAGAGCTTTTTTTAAGAAGTAATTTTGATTTTTCTGCGACTTATGTTTATCGAACATTTTAAATGTAACAGTCCGCCGCGCAAGGTCACGGAGCGTTCTCCCTGCTAACCCGCGCATCGCAGCCAGGATGCAGCAACAGTTGTTGAGATACCGCAACACAGCAATTCTTCCGGGTTCCGGAGAAAGAACAAGAAGAGAGCAAGAGATCATGATACTTAACAGTTTGCATCAATATTACAGAGATTCGGACATGACGATTTCGACACGATATATTGTGAATACGTGGGGAGCAAGTTTCGCCAGCTCACAGAAGAGGAACAAGTTATATAGCGTAATCACGAAAAAGAGAATATTTTGAATGATGTAATAAAAAAAGGAAAGTAGTCAATGAAATATTTTATTAACTTTTAATTTTGTTTAAAAGATTGGGCGCATCCATCCCTCGTCCTGTGAGCTACCATTGAACTTCACACAGGAACAACTGCTAGAGAATCAATTGATAACAATTGGGCACCTGCTACAGTAAGAAACCTCATTACTTTCAAGTAATATATTCCTAAGTGTACTTATGTATTCCAAATAATTCTCATTTCCACCTGATGTATCAGCTTAGTTGGGTTTGTTTTTGCATGTCAAAAGTAGTAATTTATGCAATTAGTTTATAATGTTAAGCTTTATTGCATGAGTACATGTTTTGAAAACGAGCGAGTTTTCAAATTTGTATGAATGTAATAAAGGAACATTATAAATGAGTTGCATACTATATTTTTTATGTAACAACATTATACATTTATAAGAATTAAAGTTAATTTTGCGAAACAACTTTCCTATGACGACTCGGGTATTTGACATCGTGCGAGTAAACGGTGGTCGGCTGTACCGTTTAGCAATACCTCCCACGATTCTCTCGCTGCGATTGGCTGAATGTGTGATGACGCAATCATTCGTGACATAAAATCTAATATGTCGTCATTTGTGCCTTTAAATGCCCGATTATGAACGATTTCTTGCAACAGAATGGGTTATTTTATAATTGTAGAATACTGAAAAATTATGAAGCGCAACTGTTGCCAGCACCAAATCATCTATTTTCTGGACATCCAAAATCTGGATAACAAATCTGGATCTGTTCGTCAGTATCACAAAGGCATTCTTTGACACTCTTCTGGTTCAAAGTAGACGGTGGTTAAAATTAATTTTATCTGCTGATAAGTTTCTCGCTGGAAACTGTTCCATTAAGCCTAGATATAGTGCAAGTGCGCCATCCGTGACAAAATGGTACAGCTCATTTACGCCGGTACTCACGTGGAGGTACCACGTGGAGAAATTCGTAATTTTTCCATATTTTTATAAAAGAAAGTGCGTCCGGACTCCACTCACTCAGCCATTCACATCCCATCCAAAACCTACAATCTGCATCCACAATTCCAAGCAGAACAATGGAATCCACCGCCGTAATTGAAATAAGTTCCCGCAGATCTTGGTGCACCAAAGACTTACGTACTTCCCGTCAGTAGCCCCAGAGTTCTTTAAACTTTTGGGATATGTTTAACCACTCCGCTTGAGTCCGTGGGCACTACAAAAAAAACAACATACGTTTTGTATCCATTACAATTAACCATGTAAATGTAGTGCTTTATCAACTTACTTTGACGTACACAAGTCGCAAATGTGTCTAGATTATGATGTATATTTTTTTTTAAACACAATATGCTTGTAAAAGTAATGTACTTCAGCTTCCGGGTCAATGAGCCCCATCTCGATCAGGTTTTTTGTCCAGATTTCCTGATCCATTGAGCAAATTTTGAGATGGCGCCTTGTTTTGCTTCTGGACGTAAACGTAACTTCACTATGCGCAATTTTTGTTGAACTCTCCTTTTGCTTGTAATGGTAGAAGTAGAGGTAAGGGCGAGTTACTATTTTGTTAGCAATGCAGAAAAATCTTATATGCAATCTATCCCTCTCTCTGTCTCCCTCTCTCTGTCTC